TATCGGATCCAATTTAATTAGTTACTGGACGATAAAAGTACACGATATTGTAAAAAGTAAGGATTAATAAACAATAAAATTTTTATTAATTTTCAATGACTTTTTTTATTGCTTTTAAATGGAGTGCATTTGCTTTTTGTTTTCAGGATAAAATTGATTTTATCGTCTGCTTGGGAGGCGACGGCACACTTCTTTATGCCAGTTTGTTGTTCCAACAGTCAGTGCCACCTGTAATGGCATTTCACCTTGGTTCCTTAGGATTTCTTACGCCCTTCGAATTTGATAATTTTCAGGAACAAGTTACCAATGTTCTTGAAGGTTAGTTATTAATTTATTTTACGTTTTTTTTTAAATCGCCAAATTTACATTATATCTTGTTCTAGGTAACGCGGCTTTAACTTTAAGGAGTCGTCTGAGATGCATAATTATACGCAAGAATGAAGACAGTCAGTTGACTGAACCACCAACAAATCTCTTGGTATTAAATGAAGTTGTAGTGGATCGAGGGCCCTCACCTTATCTTTCAAATATCGACCTATTCATTGACGGCAAACACGTGACAAGCGTCCAAGGTGATGGCTTGATTGTGAGTACGCCGACCGGGTCGACCGCTTATGCAGTTGCTGCTGGAGCCAGCATGATTCATCCTTCAGTTCCTGCTATAATGATCACACCAATCTGCCCTCACTCTCTGTCCTTCAGGCCGATTGTCGTACCTGCCGGGGTCGAGCTCAAGGTAGTTTCTTTAATCTTTTAAAAAAATCAAAGAAACGCGCTAATGGAACGTTTTATATATTTATGGTGACGGATTAAAAATTTCTTAACAACTTCGAAACAAACACCTTTTAATTTTATTCATGAAAATAAAATCAACTTATTCAATTCTTTTGAAATTTATAGTATAAATACTGGAATTTCACTTCAGTCGGTTTTGAATTTTTTATAATAATGAAATCTATGGCCCATTTCAAAAAAAGAGAAAGTTTTTACTTAAGAGTTTTTATAACATTTTGAAACAACTTAAATGATAAAGAGTCAATGTAACGAGTCAATGCAGGATGTTAGGTGCTAATAAATGAATTTTAATCTTACAATAATTTGAATACAATACTAAATGTTCGACTCTCATTAGGTTAATATAAAAGATATGAATAAAAAAGATCGCAAAATTACAAAAATATCGAATAATATAAATGTGTTCAAATATAATTTCATAATTTATAGCGATTCATATAATCAAAATTGCCAAGAATCTCTCGTCACTCTTCCAATATTCATTCGCATGTGATGATAAGAATAGATTAATCCAACCAATCAATAGTTAAAAAAATAATAAATGATAGAAATTAAATCGCATCGACGTGTCCTAGTGGAGGATCGACGTTAATTTTTTGAAAGAAAATCAAATTGTAAATATAGTCCTAAACGATTAGAATATAATATATTGTAACATTTTGACTTATTGATAACAATAGAATTGAGTCTTATTCATTATTCTTAAGATTTATAATAGGTATCATAATTAGTTTCATTTAAATCGATTCTTTCTTTGTGTTGTATGAAATATTGTTCAGGTCAATATTCAATTTGATTCTTTATATTCAGATGTCATAGCACATTCTTAGGCTAAATGTTTCCTTGAAGTTTTCATTCAAAAGTTTTCAAAGTATCCGACCTTGGAAATTTATTATTTCTTTTCACGAAAGAACCTATTACCTATTATTGACTGAAGACAAATCGTTTCCGTAGTAAGAAATTTTTTTGTTAATTTTTCGTAAATTTGGGAATTATGTTAATTTATTCCAATTTGAAATTTATACTAAATTAAATTTAGTTTATTCGAATTTGAAAATTATATTTATATTAAATTCTTATACGTTATTCCAGAATGACAATAACGAAATTTGTAAAAGGCTTGTTAAGCAACAGACTTCAGAAAAAGGTCTAACAAATTAACGCAATATTTCGAGTTAAACGAACCGCGGCAATACCGCTGTAATCAGCAGCAATTAACATGATCATCTTTCCATCGTAGATCTCGGTTTCACCCGACAGCAGAAATACCTCGTGGGTGTCCTTCGACGGTAGAAATAGACAGGAACTCTTCCACGGTGACAGGTAAAACCGAAACGCTCGGCAGCTCTGTCTAATCGTTTATTTTTTCTACAATTATTTCAGATAATGGCGAACAGCAATGCTCGCAGTACAGCTTACGTCTCCTTCGATGGCCGCAATCAGCAAGAGCTGCGTGTCGGCGACAGGTTTGTTCTGCTTTTGTAAAGAGCACCGTATCGCTTTTCTTTCTATATTTGTCTTGTTGCATTAAACGATACGAATCCTGTAACTTTTTTTTTTAATCATATTCATAAATTCTGTAAATCACGATGCATAAAATATCTTCTTCCAATAAGCTTATTTCAAATCAAATCCATATTTTAATAAAAAATAAGATACTACGGCTAGATTTATTAAAAAATTTAACCAAAGTTTATAAACCAAACTTTTTTTATAATTTGAATGACAAATAAGCTTATGTCAGTCGGTGCTTTTTTCATTTTTTTTTTATTTCACATTATCGGACGTTTCCCATTTCTTTTTATATTAATACGACGAAATTTATGGTCTCTACTTTTGTAAATCATCTTTAAAAATTATCTGCTACATGTTCATTTATTCTTTGCTTAATTTTCATATTCTTTTCGTTACCAATATTTTACTTTAAAATATCTTTCTGGAGACGTTAGCTGTACTGCAAGGTGATGGTACTTAATAATTTATTATTCAACTTACGATAAATGTTTTATGCATAAACATAACATTAAATCGAAAGCTTTCGCTTATCATAATAAAATCACCGCATAATATAAATATTTTCTCTTACATAAGAATGCATTATTTTTTACAAATATGTGAACTATTTTCTTATAAAAACATTTTCCACAAATAATTAAGAAGTAATTAAATAAATTTTATTTGAAACAATTCATTTTACTGCAAAGTAAACTTTCACCATATTAGTTTTAGATTCGTTTAATTTTATTGATTAATTAAAAAAAATCGCATAATTTTTCAGTTTAAAGGTGACCACCTCTATATATCCGGTGCCTAGCATTTGCGCAGCTGACCAAATCACTGACTGGTTCGATTCCTTAGCTGAATGCCTTCACTGGAATGTCAGAAAGCGGCAGAAGCATTTGGACGAGCTAAGTGATCTCGCGCATTCATCGAGCAATGATACCCTAGATTCTCTCGATCGAGATAGTTAGATCAAGGAGAACGTTCATACATAGTCAAAATCGACAATATTTGGCCAAATATAACTCCGCTGAAAATCAGAATAAAATCGTTTACTCGACTTTTCTAATTAATGTCGCCTTCATCGATTAAAATTTTTCTAACGAAATCTTATTAAATGTAAGGAAGCTAATAAGAAATTGGTTGGTTATAAAGATGTAATCTATGAGATTGTCATCTAAAAAACATTTGTAAGATCTACAGCTAGAGATGAAGATTACGTAATTAGATTAGAAAAATGAGCTTGGATCATGATGAATCTTCAATAATTAAATGCATTTGTCTTCGGAAAGAATACATGTTAACAGTGAAATATTGTTTAATTCGATTAATTATTGTCGTAAAGAAATTATATACAATACTATTATTAATTTGAACGCGTGCGTATACAATGTATTTATTAATTATTGCGTTTTGGTCTGTAAAATGGCTGATTTAATTGAATATCTAAGAATCTTTTTGTATCTTATCGATATCATATTACTTGTATAAATACTTTTATTTTCTAGCGTTCTTTAAATTGATATGATTTATATACGAATGACTATATTCTTGCTTTTTTATAATGGTAATCGATCTGATATAAATCGATTTGTCGCGAATAATCAATTTTCCTACAAAATGAAACTTTTTAATAAAATGTTTTGTACCATATGTATTTGTGTTTTCTTTAATAACTCCAAAATCGTTAAAATTTCACAAAAATTGTCAAAAAAAAGGGAGAGGTTACCACATTTATTGAACCTTGTTATATTTGGACAGAGAGAATATAAATTGTGATATATATGTCTTATTACAAATGAATTTATTCATCTGCAACTTTATGGAAATATACATTATATACACCGCAGAAGGCATTAAACATTAAACGCTTCTTTTGTCACATACATTGTAAGTATCGTAAAAGAAATCGCTGCAATTTCAAAGACAAGAAAGGCAAGACCTTCCTAGAAATCTGCAACGTTTTCACAAAGAGACTCTCCATGAATTTATCTAACTAAAGACTCGGAGAAAAGATCCCTTAATCCATCTAACTATATTTAATATAAATAGATATATGAACCTAAACTTTTACATTTGGCTATATCAGTCATGAGCATGTTGACACGTTGGCGAATGCATAAGTCATGGATACGCTACACTTAATTATATGTACATTATAATAAGTCTAAAGAAACTAGTTTATTTTCAAGATATAAGAATTATTATTATAACTCTCTCTATATATATTTTATATATATATATATTTTATATATATATATATTCTACTATATTTAAATAATTCTTCTTTAAGTTAATAGTAAACAGTCTATATAAAGAACTCTTACAAACTATATCAATTTTTTACAATTAAACTTTTACATTTAAACTATTATTATTTATTTAAAGCCAAACTTGCATTTTTTTCAAACAAATGTTGAACAATTAAAAAAGATAAGCAATCAGTGAAAATTTACGTTTCTCGTAAAAGCAATGCTTAAAACAGACCTTTCACTTAAGTTAAGTTTCTATATTTATATATTTGTTAATGTATTATTCAATCATAAAATTTTTTTAAGTGAAATTTCTTAATTTAAGGTCCAGTACTTAAGATTCACTCTTATATAATATTTCTAGATGGATATTTCTCTACACGACTCTCATACAATAAAATTGCAAATTTTCTTTAATGGCAAGTATTTCTAAATAATGATGATAACACAATATAGTTTAAGTCGATCTTTTTTATTTTAAAATAAATCTTTTCGCTTTCTGGTCAAGTAAAATTTGTCATCAATGCCTACAGTTTACGTACGTGTCTTTTTTGTCATTTACGATGCGAACATAACGATGGCAGGCTCGGACGAAAAGTGTAGGTATGCGTTGGTCTGTAGAGAGAGAAAAAAAAGAAAATATTTTATAATAAGAATTTAAAATTATCGAGATTCAAAATGAATTAATTAAAAGACACACACGTACACACACACACACACACACACACACACACACACACACACACACACATTTAAAATTTATTAAAATATGAATTTTTGCGATTTCAGAATTTATTTTTCATTTTTCTCTTAATTAAATTATTAGATCATTAATTATCAATTACTACTGAATCATAAATAATTTAAATGCATTTTGGTCAGATGTGCAATCAATGAAAAATAATTTAAAAATCTCTATTTACCATTCAAACTGATATCAATAATTTATGAATTTCAATTTCAACACACATTACATTATTAATTCACTTTTGTTTCAAGTGTTACTACACTCGTTGTTTAGTCTCGCAAAAATATGCCAAGGCTCAAACGGAAGTTAGTATTGTTAGACCACACACTCACATGCCTTCTCATCGAAATCGTGGTCCACGCAAGACGATTGTTGGATGTACAGAGCCGGTTTTAGTGGCCGGCCGTCCTGGTCCTCTATCTGAACCACCAAACCGTGATTGTTACCGTTGCCATGTGGATTTCGCGGACTCGGTCGCCAGAATCTCAGGCCTTGCCTGACATCCAGCGCCAGATGAGCGCCTTCGGCATTCAGAGGCGTCACGACAGAGTCCATCAGTCGTTTTTTTGCTACAGAAATAGCAATTCTCTAAATTCTTTAAATATTCATAGGTAAATTTAGCAATTTGCTAAATCATAGCATAGCCAGAGAGGGCAAGAGACTACGCCCCCAAATCTTGTAAAAGAACAAAATTAAAACCGCTTAAACAGATTATGCTTAATGAATATTCACAAGAAATTAATTTTGAAAAAGGAAAAAGAATTGAAGGTGAAAATTATAGAAAGATTTTCTGAAAATCCAAGACAACTAATATTATAAATTAAAATTTTTCTAGTTCGAAGAACCAGTTTACAATTTTAAGAGAGAATAAAGTAAATTATAATAAATTAAATATGCGTGATCATTATTTACCTTGTAATTAATTAAAAATAATAATATAAAACAAAACAAATTCAATAGTTTACACTAACTCGATTATCCTCCCTTTTTTAAAAGTCTTAACTCTAATTTGTCTCGTCCCTTTAAACAAAATATCTTAGCTATGCCCATGTATTATCAAACGCCCATTATTAAACGATTAAATACTTACATCGATGCTTCTTCAACGATTTTGTATAGTAATAAACGGACACCCTGATTTTCTTCTCGTCATCTTCTTCCTCGTCGAAGGGGTTCGAAAGCCGATAGTCGGAAGTCGTGACGTTTTTTTGCGGAAATACATGAAGTCGCAATCTCGCAGCGACAACGTAATCGTCGGAAGTAAGATTTAATTGAAAGTGCATGTTCATTAAAAACGGATCCATCCATGCCTCAGAATCCGTGTTTCGAGGTATGTGACCTACATAACGAATCGAGCATTCGATCTAATAAGCAACATCCTTAATATGTTACCATGATTGCATTCGGAGAGAGCGCTGTCAGCGCTATTCGTCATTCTGTAGTTGTTCATTAGACATGAAATAAGAATAGAATAATACGGTAACGTATTATTCTAATAGACTGATCTAACTAATAGCCTGCTTCCCGCACGAACGCAATCTTTTTTTTAAACGTCAGAAAAAAATGAATTATTAAATTACTTACAAACAGGCGAAAACATAGCAAGTCTCTCGCGTTGAACCTGATTGGTATTGGTGCTAAGGTTGAATCTCCCAGTTATCGCAAGAATTCTCGATTTAATATCTTCGATCGCCTTCTTCTGGCTCTGACTGTACAGACAGATCAAAGTTTATTAGGCTGCACGGAATATTTAAATAAAAGGTGACATATCACGCCAAACTTTTAAATCTTTAATGATACGAAAGCACACCAATTTTAAAGCTTCCAAACGTTAATAGACAATCATCTTTATTATAGCAATCTTACATAAAAAAATTTTTCAAAAAGATAAAAATAACGATAAGATTATTTTAAAAAGATAATAAAATGCAAGAACCTGAGGCAAAATATTTAAAAGTTTCAGAAGGCCGTTTATATAATTGATGCTTTACAAAGAGATTACTTTACAGAAAAGAAGAAAAAGAAGAAGAAGAAGAAGAAGAAGAAGAAGAAAGAAGAAGAAGAAGGCTGTTCTTTCTCTTTGTAAACCGTTCTTTTTCTTTGTAAAACAATAAAATTTAAAGTAAGTGGTAAGCTTTTTCAAGAGAGACAGAATAATTTGCTCAACCTTAAAAAAAACCTAAGACCCTAGAGATATTTAAATAAACGTTGCAGAGGAACGTTTTAAAAATGCCTTAAAATTTTTAACTATAAAAATGTTTTTGGACACATTTTATTGGCGTTTTCGAAAAATTTTTTGTATTTGTATTTTAGAAGATTTGGATTTCGCAGTAGACTAGAAAAGATCATTTCGCTCCATGAATCTAGTGCGGCGGCGCGTCTATCAGCTTGAGAATTTTCACCTCCAGGTTCCCGGCGAACTCTTCCGGGTGCCGACACGGGCCAATGGACGATGGTCAGTGACCTACAGAGGCACGGTACGGCTCGGAGGCATTTATTACACGTTGCAGACAGCGGCTAGACAGTCGGCGGATACACCGGCACCCCAATCACCTCGACTTTCCGTCTGGTCTCTCGACGGAACCTTAATTTCTTAAGGCCGCGTCTCGAATCTTAAGTTCATTCCCAGGACGTCTCGACCAGACTCATTTGCATCGCTCGGCCTACAGAAACTTTTTCTTCGGCACTGGACGTCAGTCGTTCACGTTCGCGTGACTCGAATTTCACTCTTTTTCCCGATGCGACGTAGCATAATGTGACCCATTGCATCCTCCGCCTCTATTCGATGTTATTGTAATTTTTAGATTCCACGTTTACAACATATAAAATTGCAGTCCCATAATTTTTATCGGTACCGAGACAAGAACTTGTTTATTTGCGCGCCACGGCCTCCGAGACTTTCATCACAAGCAGACGACAGTTTCGAAAGACGACGGTGACGTCGGACGATCGACCAAGACACCGCAGGATTACATAATAAATTTTTAAGTCATTAAGTAACGACTGGTGGAATAGAAAAGAAGAACAATGGGGCGAAAGGAGAAAAGGATGGGCGTCATTTCTCTACATGATCAAAAAAGATTGCCGTGTTCGAAACGCCCATCCGGGAGGTGTGCATCGTCCACATCAATGACCTCATTGGTTTTTTTTTATATCAGAAAAGATGTACTTTCCTGAATAACGCAAAAGAGAAGAAAGCAAAAAAAAAATACGCAGTGAGAAAGAGTTAAAAGTTAGCAGGAGAAAATAAAAAAAGTAAAATAAAATAAAGAAAGTGAATCTAATAAATAAACTCGAACAATAAAAGAGAAATAGAGAAAACACAAATGCAAAAATTGTTTTTGTAAGTCCATAAATTCCACAAATCTTTTTCAACTTCCTCCATTTCTCCGAAAGGAAAAGATAAATGAGCTGTCATGAGGATTCGAACGCTGTACTTTTTGAAGAACCCAAAAAATGACAATTAAAAAAGCAAAATACATCCATTTTTCATCTTAATCATTTAATCTTATCGAGTCGTCTAGAAAATAGATCCTGTTTTCTTGCGAGACAGCGGAGAAGTTACGGCGTTCTTCTCCGAAATCTCGGCTGCGGCCGAGCCTTCGCGTTCGATTCTAGGCATGCTCGTTAATCTAGCTGCGGCCAAGTCACGCGTTTCGCGCCGGCTCGTTGCGTACATGCCACGTCTGTCCGCCGTCTGGGAAAGGGAAGAACCTGAAGAGTCTGGAGGCGGTTGCATCATGAGAACCGACGCGGCGATGCCGCGTGGTGAATCCTCCTTGCTCGCCTCGTGGGCCGGGTGTCGCGATAATGAAATTCACTGGAGCACAGCCGGGAATCGCCGTGTCGGCCATTAGCGTTGGAGATTAGATAGGGAAAATAGGGAGAAAGAAAGAGAAAAAAAAAGAAAGAGAGAGGGCGCGCGAGAGAGAGAGAGACAGAGAGAGAGAGAGAGAGAGAGAGAGAGAGAGAGCGAGAGAGAGAGAGAGAGAGAGAGAGAGAGGGAGAGGGAGAGAGAGAGAGAGAGAGAGAGAGAGAGCGAGAGAGAGAGAGAGAGAGAGAGAGAGAGAGAGAGAGCTGTTAGGACATATTGGTGAAAATTTTCATGCCTTGGTCCGGGACATTAGTTGCAGCTTAAAAGAAAAAGGGGGAAAAATAGAAGAAGGGTTAAAGAGAGGGGAAAAAAAGAAACGGTGTGGAAAAATAGCAAAGAACGGTTCCTCGAGACGCGATAGGCCGACGATGCGTAACCGGCGCGGCGGCCTGATTGGGCCGTCCGTAAAAATGCACATTGCACCGTCTGGCGGTGCGACGGCGGCGGCGGAATGCAGGGCGAGAGGTAGAGCGGAGAGAACGGAGAGGACCGAGGGGGATCACCGGCGAAAACTTCCTCCTCTCTCTCCGTCGCGCGCACCGTCGCTTCGTCTCCGTCGACATAGGAAGAGAGACGCATAGACAAGGTCAACGCATTAAATTGAAATGTGTTACGTAACCTCGTAAGAGAGTTCTAACTGCAGCCCGACTAGACACCCGGCGATTACGGGGGTGCTCAACTCGACGTCTCGATGTCTCGATGTCTCGGGCTCGAATTGTACGAGCGACATTCGTCGCTCTCTCGCTTGTGCGCGCTTCTCGTATTGTGTCCCGCCGCGAAAGACGTTTCCATCCAGACGTGTGAACATCCTTTCCCTTCCCTATATCTCTATTACCGTTTGAGCAAAACGTTCGACGTTTTTCTCGCTGTTTATTAATTTAGAATAAAAAGATTAATACTCACGAAACAATTAAAAGTAAATTTTTTTAATTGTTCTTTTAAAAAATGTACGCAGGAATAAATCCGAAGATAGATTCCCTTAGGAAGACGAAGTCTTGCGGGATAAATCGAAGTGAAGTGGATGAACTCGAAATGAAGACTCTGTGTGAAAGCTTCGAGGATAATAGCCGGCGGATCCTCGATGCAACAACCGCGCGCACGACCGTGCGAGCGATGCACGAATGCATCGGCAACAGCACGCGCTCTCGGAGGACTCTCGAGACGGGCTACGCCAGTGCCGGCACGAATGCATTTACGCGTCTAGACTTAATAAAATAAAAGAAACGCCCGCGCACACCCGCACGAGTGGGGCTGCGAGCAGTCGTGGGGAAACGGGAGAGGGCGATTTAAAAACACAGCTAGAGACCGCAGCGGAATTTCCACCGCGTATCCTTCCTGGCTGAGAACACTATCCTAAACCTGTCCCTCGCGCAAACTTTATTGCGCCTTCGGACGTTATCTCTTTATGAGAAACAATCTTATTTCACCCGTGCGAAAACCGTAATATATTATGTTTGATTGGCGCATTAATCATCGCCATATTCAATCACTGTGTTCAATCAATTTCGACTTTACGATGCTGTAATAGGTACTCTCAGGTATTGTTAAATTTATTCGAATATTAAAATTAAGATGAATTTTCTTGATAGTTTGTGCATGGTTGATGTAATAAAATTAAGATATCGAGATCAAGAATTATTATTGCTTAGTTTGCTAGAAGGATCATAAACGCGCAATTTTCCTGCTCCACTTGTAAGTTTGTCTTTGCTGTCTTCGACGCGATACTTTTATCGGTTCATCGAGATATTTTTACGTGACGAGGGCAACGTTTCGCTGAGAACGCCGATGCCGACCGTCGTCGACCGACGTCGACGGATTTGTCTGTTATATATTATATTACGCGTCGAATCCTCCAATTTCCAAGATGCTTGCGCATACTATACGCGCAAATAAATAAGTCGTGTAAAAAAAAAACGATTAATCGATATCTTTCATCAACGTCATTTACGTCAAATTGTGGAAAATTTGCTTATTGCACATTCTCGTTCCAGATTAGAAGATTTCAATAGTAAAAAAAAAAGAGAAACATCATAATATATTTACTATGATGTAAAAATGAGCGCGTGTAACAAAGAATTAAAAATTACAGAAATTGTTTAGCACAGCTCTTATAAATAATACTTAGTGCAATCTTTCTTTGATGATTTATGAAACTCTTGGAATACACAAGAAAAATATCATAGATAAATAGATGTGAAAGAAAAAAAATTGTATAGATTTGAAATGTGTTTATTAAAGTATCATATATTGCTGGTAAAATATAAATTCGAAAAAAAGAGAAAGAAAGAGAGGGAGAGAAGAAGAGCATATTAAGAAGCAAATTTAAAATAAAGTTAATAAAAAAACTCTCTAATATAAAAATAATGAAAAGAAAATAAATTAATTTAAAAGAATGAAAGCAAAAGACTTAAATATAACGAAATATAAATATATAAACGTTAACTAAAATTAACAGAGAAAGAGAGAGAGAGAAAGAGAGAGAGAGAGAGAGAGAGAGAGAGAGAGAGAGAGGAGAGCAAAATGTGTCTCGAAAATCATGCGATTCCATTAATTTCGCTATAAAAACATTCGCAAAATAAACACATGAGAACAGAAATAAAGTGCGAGCTAAGCGATTGTTAAAAAAATACGCTTGAAAATAAATTGATCAAGAAAAGTACACGCGGCACACCTTATCGAAATGCCTTACCGAATAATAAAGGCCTCTAGAAAGGCTTACCTGCTTGAAGTTACATTTTCTCTAAAAAATATAAGAAGCATATTTTGTAATACTAGATATATGCGCGTATGCTAAGCAGAGTATGTGATAAATAACATTATAAATTTGTGATGCAATTAGGATTCAGTACGAGGAAAAGTGAAACAGATTTTAAATAAAATGAGATCAGGGCTATTTTTCTGAGATGATCATCATAGATAGTAATATTAAGATACTTTCATCTTTCCTCATACTATTAAAAAGTGCTCTCTTTGAACTTTATTTCAACTTACTCCCGATTTGTACGCGATAGTTGTTGATTGGCAGTCAAATTGGTCTGCGATACGTTCTCAATGGAGATATTGGCATTGGCTATGAAAAGCTTTACCGGATCCAGAGTATCATTCTGATACTCCAGAGTATCAGTTTCATTTCCCTCTTGGGAAGAACCTAGATTTTGTTCCTCATAGTCGGAGGTCCCGTTCTCATCGGTGTTGTCGTAACCCAACGAGTCCGCGAAAGCCGGTATCACCCTATAAACATCGTCTCCAACCCATTCTAGCCCCTCGTACTCGCTGATTTTTCTGCTGGTCATATTGTCCGTGTCTTCGACAGACAATTTATCGTTCGCTGAACTGACGGAGTCATCTGTCACGCTCGAAGTCGCATTAGACGTAACATTCGTAATAATAGTGCTCGTGATAATAGACTCCGGAAACTCTGTTGTGCTGAAGGAAGGTTGATTCTTCGGGTAATCTGGCCTGACGCCTTTAAAATTCCGCAGCTGGTATACTATGGGAAGTGGAGTGTGCCCAGTAGCCGCAGAAGAGGCAGACGAAGAAGAAGAAGTAGACAATGACGAAGCATGAAAGGAGTTTGCAACATTCCTTGCAGTCGTGTGTCTCAAGGTCAAAGGAATGCGATGTTTCATACCCTTCGACAAAACCAGGGCGTCTTCGTCTATAAATTTCGATTTTTCATCGGATCCGGAGTTGGAATCGAACTCGGAATCGTCGTAGGGGATCTTGAAAATCACGTGGGGCTCCATGACTCGGTCGAAGTTCTGATGAATGTTTTGCGACGGGTTCTGCTCCTCGGAGCTCCTCGACTCGTCTTCATAATCAAAACTTGCAGGTTCCGACCACGATTGCTGTTGCAACTCGAGTTTGGAAGCCAAGTTTTCGTAATCGATTACCGCCTGACGATTATAAGCATCAAAGTCGAAGTCTTTGTCGTAAGAAGTTTTTCCCTTATATCGGTTTCTCTTGTTTTCATTCCTCGATACATCCACATCGGGATCGTTACGAGAAGACGGCTCAAGCTCCATAGAATTATAATTCCAATGCTTTGCCTTGTCTCTGTATAGATTCTCATCGTAATACTTTTTTCCATTGGATTCTTCTATTTTTCTCAATTCTTCATCCCTTCGCTTATCGAGTTCCCGCTCGCGAATCGCCAGCACTTCTTCCGGCGTGTAATTCAAGCTCTTCAACAGCAGCATTTCTGCTGCGCCGAGATCACCTGTGATTATCTTCAGGAGTGCCTTCTCCAACATTTTCTCTAATCTTCGCGGACTGAAGGGAATTCCTTTGCTATCTAAGACCTCTGAGTATTTTTCATTGTTTTTCAGTGATTCCGATTGTGCAGTATCTGCGGTTTCTTCATTTTCAAAATTGGATTTTTGTTCGACAAAATTTATATGACTATTTTCTTTTCTGTGTTCTGGATAATATTCATGGTGATGATGATGATGATGATGACGATGAGACCACGCGTTGGCCGTGATGGCTATCAATAAGAAAAGTACGAAGGATTTACTCATTTTGTCGTAAGTGATGAAAAATTCACCGTAAAGTTTAATGCACTCAAATAATGTTCAACCGTAGACGCAACGATTAAAGCACTGTGTTCCAAAAATTGAATAGTCTTGTGAGAAATAAAATAGCTTGAAGCGCGTTCTCCAAGAATAATTTTAAACCTGGGTGGATGATTCACTGAAAAAAGTGTCAAGCCTCGAAAATTTCGTAAGTTATGCTTGACAGCTGCAGTCTACAAATAATCTTCAAATTACCAGGAGAAAGTAACCGACTTTGCGTCTTTGAGAAATTTGCGTCTAAGAAGAATTTTTCGAACTTCTCGCTATTAAATCCCCAAAGTCCATTGACGAATAATCGCGTTATATCAGTCTCTATGTTTGATTGGTATCTCGCTCACCTCGCAGAATCAAGATCTTCCTCGGAGGAAGACAACAAAAAGGATAATTAAGGAAGTATCTCACATATCTTCTGGTTCTTCGAAGCTTCGTCGAAACTTCTTGAGGATTTGAAGACGTCACCGTTGCGGGTGGCTTCTAGTGCTCCACCGTGCTATTCTGTCACTTAGCTGCTCGACGCTTCTTCAAACGAGGGAACTCCGCAAGCACGTTCAACACATGAAGAAGAAGAAGAAGATGACACCGTTTCGTATGGAGGCGCGTTAGCAAAATGGACCGTGATTGGCCTGCCGGCAGTCGCGGACTAAGTTCTAATCGCACGAGGAAGGCGCGAGGTGCGTAAGTAGGAAGGATTCGTAGTATGCGTGTGCACGCTCTGAGCAGTAAGTCTCAACTGAGCCGTGCTGGCCAGCTCACAGACATAATTCTGTCTACTCACTAATTCCGAGACAACCACGAAGCCGCGAGAGGAGACGCGCCGGTGTGTTACTACGATGACTCCTTTTTTTCTTCCCTCTCCTCCCCCTTCTATCCCTCTCTTTCTTTCTCCCTCTCGGCCTCTTTCTCTCTCTCCACCACCGTTGCCTCTCTCACGTCGGCTCGACTCTTTCTCCTCCACTCGTTCAAACCCGGGTAACCCCTTTTCCTCGCGCACCGAAATCCCGCGGAGGACAACCTTTTCTCTCCTCGCGATGTTTCACCTCTTTCTTCTTCTGTCCCCTTCTTCCTCACCGTTTCCTTTTCTTTTTCGTACACTTTTTTGTATTCTACCTCCTCGGCGCGAATCTGCCTCCCGTTGATGATTACCAGAGATTTGAATCGAATTGGTCCCTTGACCAAATTTCCGATTGTCCTGATCTTCTTTTCCCCTCTGTCACTTATCTGCGATATCTGTACTACTGATTATTTGAAATTTCGCAAATCGTCTTGCGGCTCGTCGATATCTCGATCATGCAAATACTCACGTGGCAAATTCTCACTCAGAAATCTGTATACATGACGCATATATATCTATGTATATGGCTCTGTGTTGCAGGTGAACATTGTTAAATTTTTTCCTCCTTTCACCGCGACCGCAAATGATGCTGTACGCGCGCGCCGGGCTTTCGCTACCAAAAAATCGATCTCGATCTCCTACCGTGCGATAACTCGATCGAAATGTGGCCTCTTTTTAGCCAGGGCACCGTCGCCCTCGTATATTTCGATTAGCGCGAAGAGAACGGAAAGAGAAAAGAGTTTCTTCCCCTCTTTGTCTGTGTCTTGTTTCCACGAAGTCTCGGTTGTTTTGCAAGATAGAGTTCCTCTGATTGAACGGCTTCAGGGAACGTCAGCGACAAAATGCGAGAGAAGTGACAGAAAAAAAAAAGAGTTAGCAGATATAACGATGTATAGACGGGAGCACACGAGGCTTTATACACGAAAGAAATGTACAAGGAGGCTCGTCGTATTCGGATGGTTGTTTCAGGGGCAACCACGTGCGACTTTATAGGGTGCCTCCCTCTCCGCCGTCTAGACGAATCGAAAGATATAATCTTTGAATCATAATATATCGCTTTTAATAAATGCAGCCTCCGCGTGCGTGCGTGAAAATACGATGCGTGGCAATGTACGCCGAGTAAAAAAAAAAGGAAAGAAAAAGAGGCGACGGCCGTGACACATTCAATTTGCTTCCACGTGCGGAAATCTTCATGGAAATTCGCAAACTTTTGATCGTCTTTCATTATTACAATGACTCACAATTAATCACAGTAATTTAATAAAGAATTAAATTAAAGCGTAAGGATCGAGATTTAAATTCAATGAACCCAGATTTATACTGAAAGAAGAAGAAACTATTTGTGTATTTTCAAATCGACAGATTTATCTTTAATATATTGAAACAATATTTAAATGAAAACAATGTCATCGATAACCTATTTTTACGAAGAAACCTATCCTATTTGGGGGAACACAATTTGACTTTCCAACATAATTATTTTGATGGTCCTACAAAATTATTTTCGACTCTTTTCTTGCAGCAAAATCATTCTTTCCATGTATGATAATATGAAAAATGTCACGTAATGCAATTTATCTTTAAACAGATTCATCGTAATGAATGTAGAAGAGAAAAAATAAAATGATTGCCATAAATAAATCGATAAATGAGACGACGTAATTACTTACTCATCCCTGTTCAAACCTAGTCAACGTGCGGAAAAGCACGTGTGTCGAAGGAAGTGCATTAAGCTGTCTCGGACACCCGTTCCTCATACCTCACACTATGTTACTACCTAATACCTACTTAAATTATATACGTGTGACTTCTGCAGATCGAATATATTTTTCCTAAAATCGTCTATAAACTTCAAAATACTTTTCTTCGTTCGTTCAAATTGTACATGTCGAGCCCATTCGAACAAAATTATTCTCATCGAGGGATGTGATCAATTAATCTTATTTTATTTTATAATAAAATATAATAAGATTTAAAATTTATAGCAAATTTTATTACATTACAAAAATTAACAATATCGTTCCCTCACTTCAAAAGCGGTACAATTAAGAAAATATAATTTCCGAATTATTTTATCATAAATAAAAATTACCCCATCAATCATCAAAAGTAAATTAATTCTACTTCACATTCCATTCTTAAGATTTTTAAAGAGATCATAATATCTTCTATAAGAGCGATACATTTTGAGTTACATCATTTTTGTTCTTTCATAAATAAAAGGAATTTTTTCACGCGGAAAAAATAAATTGCAGAGACCGTTTAGAATTAATTTTTTGATGAGCAAAGTTTAAAGAAAAAATTGTTTCATTTTGAATTTCGGCTAATCAAAATAAATATGAACTATTGGCAACATGTATTTCTAAAATAGGTCAGTTTTTATGAATCATTCAGATTTATTATAGAAATATAACTCAAAAGGGTAGTTTTCAAACATTGTAAAACAAAAATGACAAAAATAACATTTGATCATATTTCTATAAAAGTATATTCTTTTTGCCAATATTATTTAATTAATCAATAATTTTTAAGTTCAAAAAGACAATTTTCCCCCTTTTCTAAAAATTTCATTTTTTTAATTATGTCATTTTTGAATAAAGGGAACGATATTAAAATTCTGCAGCATATTAATCAATGAAAATTCAATATTTCACTGATCCCAGTCTTTACTTTTATTAAAACTAGGACTAGAAACCACGAATCAGCGGTCAAAATAAACCGATGTTAGTGAAACCCAGCTATTTCTGGCTCTAGTCTCAAGTGGAAGCAGTGATTTGGGTAAAGCCACCGTTATTTCTCGCTTCTGTCCTCCTTAGAAAGAGACAAAGAATGAGTTAAGCTAAGGTTAAAGTTACGCGACGTTGGTGAAACCGGCCCTCAGACTCGGAAGACACGTCGGGTACATAAAGTACCCACGTGCGATCACGCGCGGGCGTGCAGACACGCGGGCTTAAACTGCGTACGACATGTCCGTCGGAGGGTTATAGGGTGAGAGCGAAGGAGAGACGCACGATGCAATTTGATCTCGCGTGTGCGAGAGAGCCGGGCGCGGTGGCGACGGCGATGCAACGGCTGACGTCACCACCGAAATTCTCCGTCGCAGATCGGACATGCGCGCGGACAGACAATCTGGCGTCTAGACGTACCAAAATAAATAATGCGCGGTGCCTCGCCTCGCCAAGTCAAATTGTTGTTTCGCACACTGGTAATACCCGTCGTTTGTCGTCCTTGTCGGTAGCGTTGTTCCCTCCGCCTAGCCTCCTGTTGGCTCATGGGGGATGGTTACGGAGAAACATCCGAATGAGAGTCCCTCCGCTCGATGCATCACGCAATGCGTCGATCAGTGTGCGAAGTCGCAGTAAAGAAAATCTTCTGCTATATATCGTTGCAAGATTATTTTCGACCTGACACTGATTAATTCGAGAATGAAAGAAGAATTCTAACTATTTAAACTGGGTTGTTTGAATGTCGTTTCAAATTCGAGACGCACGATGCGTCTATCAATACCGATGGATCCTTATACTTAAAAAAAAAGGGGAAGAAAAAAAAAGAAAGATCGAAGATGAATGCATCGGTGGATTTTTTTCGCAACCACGATGGGACTCGATCATAACAACCGGTATAATATGTTCGACTGTATTTCTTGGAATTATTTTCATAGCCCGGGGGAATGGATAACATGCGAGGAACGTCGACTGTTTGATGGCGACGCAAACAACATCGTGGAGAGAGAGAACAACAGTGAGCAACACATCGCGGCAGAAAAATCGGCGCGTAAACATTGGGCTCCTGGTTTCTCGGAGTAGTCGGAGAACATGGTCTCACCTGGCGTTGAGTTGAGTCGCGCGGTGCGTCCGAGATACGCCTTCCCTAATGACAGAGTCTCCTTTCCTCTGGGTCTACTCTTTCTGCTTCTTCAGTTCTTCCCCCGAGACGAGGGACGTTCGAATAAGAATTTAAGACGCTCTGCCCACGCGTGCCAAATTATTCCGCCTTATGCCCGTTTCCTCCGATCGGAATTGTAAAAAAAAGATAGAATTCCACCGACGCTGCCCGGCCGCCGATCGGATCAGCGCGCGGCACGAGGACTCGCGAGAGATGGCTGTGGCGATGAAGGAAGATGCAGAAACACAGAAGAAAAAAGAAATGGAAATCGTGCAATTTGCATGGTCTCTCCGGCCAGCACTCCGGCCCTCAACGTCTTCGGCCTGCAAGAGAACGGAGGCAGACGGCAATCAAGATAAGGTCTCTCTTCTCGGGATCAGTCAGGGAATACTACGTTCTCGGTCCGCCTTCCCGATTCTTCGATCGCTTCGTGGAATCGGGATTTGAATTTCGGAGTGGATTGCGCAATCCGCGCGCCGGCACCCACGCGTGGGCGCGCAACGCAATCGTCTTCGGACCAGACGGTCATTTTAAAACCAATACCTGCCTATCGGAAACACGCAAATCGCCGCGCCACGCCGCACCGGCCGGAGAGAGAAGAGCTCTCCCTCTCTCCCTTTCTTTATCCCTAGCTCACCATTGCCTCTCGGCTTTGCGATATTTCACGCTTGTTCCGCGGCGCAGACGTACACTTTGAGACCGGAATGCGAGACGCATTTTTATAAACTTTCTAACCTAAGCGTAAACATCCTATGAGCGCGCACTCTTTTCAAATGGAAAATTCGAAAGTCACGCTAGAAAAAATGTTTTGTTTTATCAACTCATATTTTGCTATAACAATAAAAATTTAGTTAAAATATACTGTATACCGAACTAATTTTATTACTGTAGCAAACTATTTTGTTTAGTAATAAATAAATAATTTTGTTATTTACAAAGCAGAAAAATATATTTCGTAGAAATTAAAGTTTTTGTCATAAAAAGCAAAATGTTTTTGATGGTTATTAACAAGTACCTCAATTAAATAATTTTACTAAAAACACTAAATTTTTTCCTAGTACATATATTTTACACTATAAATCATAAAAGAAACTCTAAATTGGACGACTTAAT